AATTGGTTACTAATATTTATTAAATTCATACTTTTTTTTTAATAAATTCGAACGAAGTTATTTCAATGTATTTATTTTTCTGTGATAGAACTTCTTTTACATTATAAAGTTATATTTACATCCAAGTGTGCAAAAACGACTATTTCGAGAGGATTCAGCATTAAAGTTCATTCACTTTCAATTCGATACAATATTTTTTCAAATGATGTTAATTTAAAAATAACCATAATGTATTTTGTCAATTCCACATTGCTCTTTGATTTAATACAATTCGATTATATATATAGCGGATACAAAAAATATTCGTACAGAGAAAATATTTTTTAAAAAGCTTAATTTTAAAAAGTAAATATTATCCAACGAAAAATAAATCATGGAATTCATGTCGAATAGATATCGATACGATGATCTCAATCACTTCGACGTCGATTCGACATATAATTAACGATAATTCCTGAATTATTAACAATTTATTCATAAAGAATAAAATAGACTGTTATTCAAAATTAAACATTTCAAAAAGATGTATTAATTATAGAAAATATATAAATACCATTTGAGAAACAAGTGAAAATTAAAAATTGTATTGTTTGGATGCTCAAAAAATATTCGTACAGTCAAAGAATTAAACTTCCAAAATCAGAAATACGGAGTTTATTTATGTTAGAACAGAACATATTCATTATGCGAAATTGCTAATTAGTGTTAAATTATTTCTTTTTTACAAATAATACTTTATTATAACAAATGTCTTTGTCCAAATATTTTTTGCACTTATTGTATATGTATAATAAATAAATTAATAAGTACAAATAAAATTACTTCTTTACAATATACAACTAAAACAGAATAAAATACATATCTTCTTCATATATTATGTGGGAAAATATCTACATTAAAATTATAATATCTCAAAAACTAAAAATTATACAAAGATATATTATAAATAAACAAAGATAAATTTTAATAGTAGTAGTAGTAGTAGTTTTTTATTGCATTTCACCCTTAACCGCTTACTTCCTTTCAATTATATTACAAAATTAATACATTATATCTTAAATCTACACCCATAACACATTTGCGCAGGCTTAATACTATTCACTCCCTCACTCACTTTATCGTAAGATAAATTTTAATATTAAAAGTTGATGCATTAGTGTGGCATTAATAAAATTTCGGTATAAAATTCTTTTTCAAAAGTACAATGTTAGGAAAACGCTCAAAATAATATGTTATATAATGATATACGAGTGAAATAAAATTTGAGATTTGCAAAAATAAGAAAAATTTAAACGCAATATTTATTCAGTTTTGAAATGTTTAATTCAATCGTCAATTTACATACTTGCTTTATACATAATGACATAAATTAATCTCGTCTAAGGAGGTCCAAAATTTCATTAGAAGATAAATCGTCAACTGAATTAGGTAATTTTACAGATTCTGCCGAATATTTATGAAAAAGGCTCTCCGCAATATGATCCAATGAAATTGAAGTGCTCGATATGAAGCTCTGTTGAGATACAGATAATGACAAAAATTTGATAAAATATTTTGCATTTAATTATTATAATTATATTACACGGTTATAGGACACACAATTATACGACATCTATTACTTTTATAAACTATTGGATTTAATCGTATTATCATTATAAAAATTTTTTGGCGAGAAATATTCTACGTTATTTTACAAAAAATAAAGATAGATTATAGAAAACTTAAAAAAATATAAGAAAAGATTTCATATCAAATATTGAATCGTATCATTTAACTATACATGTCAGAACACAAGCGATAGAGATAAATGACTTTTATGAACTTAGCTAGATCTGAAGTGCTTGAATAAATCTGTATATACTTCTATATCATGTATTTCTATATCATGTATACTACGTATATAGACCTTTACGATTGACGTCGAAATGATCGGTCTTGAAACGATAACTCTATTAAACTAACGCAGTGATATCACGAATAAATTGATTAGCAATTTAACTCTTGATATTACTACGTTAGTTAGTAGAATTTGGTTTTCAAACATGGTGAAAGGGATAACGTGATGTGTGTATTGGACAGTGTCTCTTTCTAAATCTCTGTCCTCTCCGTTTATTGATTGTTCATAAGGAATAAGCTACTAACTGTGAAACGCTAAACATGGAACGGTATTCATAGTC